CTTCCAAGCACAGCTATTTGTGTGGAATGTTTTGAAGATCCTTGCTCTGCATGGAACTAGAAGACCTCTGAGGTATCTTCCAATTCTATACTTTGAAACAGACCAAAATATGGATTATCTAAATGTATGCGCAAATTTTCCATCGGTGCTTTCTCCACATATAATTAAACTAGGACACAAGTGCAACAGTCGTATTCTAGTTAATGCTTGTTTTAGAAGTTCTCTTAAAACCTCCCCATGTCTGCAGAAGATACTCAATGCTGCCCTTTAGACCCAGAGGTAGGTTCCAGAGGGCATTGTTTCTTCAACATTTTAACAGATGTTGAATGAAACTGTCATGCTGGATGAGATCCCCTTCAACTGTGTAAGGTTGCAGTTCTTATCCTGCGCCTCCAGCAAGGCTGTGATGGATGGGAATGTCACCCGTTGTGTTCTAGGACATTTGCAAAGTAGCCACTTTGAGAAGCTTCCTTTAAATACGATCAACATTTAGCCATGGTTGCACTTTGCAACAACGTGAAATTGCTACTGACAAGACAGCTTGTTTGCCTGAACTTGTTTTGAACTATGGCACAGTTCAACGGTGGAATTCAAAATATGTTACTACCGGTTCTGTGGGCGCACGTTCTGTGGGGGCATTCTAAAATGGGCAATTTTAAGCATGAAAACTTACCTACTGTCAGTGCTGGTGAATCAAACAGCTGAGGCGCAGGAATCCGTTCTGCCACGCCTATCAACTGAGCTACAAACAAAGGAAATATAGGACAGGGGTGGGGCCAACTGCTGAGCAGTGCTACCGGATCAATAGAACCAGTGCAAACTGGTAGCATACCACCACTGGCATAGTTTGAAAATGAGTAATCTAGAATCAAAGACTTCTTGCCAAGAACTACTACTGCATTTCTGAACTGATTTATCTAAAGATTCTTTAAAGGACTTAACTAACCGACATCCAGAGGAACTGTGGTATCCTAGGCTCAGATGCGAGGAAAATGCCTTAAGATCTTGAATATCTGCCTAGGATTTGACCGGCTTTATAACTTTATGATGTCTCTTTGTTGGGGTGGAAGTCAAATGTTTGATTCACTAACATGAAACGTTATTAGCCCTAAAGGGAAACACTTTCAGATCTGACTTCTGCTACAAAGAACATGAAATTGCAATCTGCTAAAATTATTAATCAGAAAATGTTCCTTTTAAGGCAGTGGAAAGAAGAACAAAGATGAAAGTTGAGAAGAAAGAACGTTAACCATCTCCAACTCTTTTATGTGAAATGAAACCTGAAGAACTGAAGTTGAAGTGCCACCTTGATGCAACTTCTGATCGTTAGAACTGAGCTACCAAGTCTTCAAAAGAGTGATTTACTGCATTCTGGGAATTGTTTTGCCCAATGTCTTGTCTTTTGCCCCCAAACTTCTGGATTCTTCAGAATGCACAAGGTTGGCCAAAGTTGGAGATGGATCATCTCAGCATGAAATGAGAAGAAGTCCTAGAATAAGTATTCTAAGCATAAATCTTCTGATTATCATTTTAGTCTGTGTATATCAAGGAAAGGCAAGAAATGATACCTACACTGAAAATTAGCACTGATTATATATTGTCTCATCTACTGTGCATGGTCCTCATGTAAGAAGAAAAATGACAGAAAAAAGGAAATATCTGATACCTCTATTTATTAAATCTTTATTACTGAATTAAAGTATTTGTATCCCACTTTTCTACTTTACAACACCCCCTATTAGCTATCTTGGACATGTCATCTTTTGGACAGCTTCTTCATCATGAACCTTAGTCCCTATTGTCCATCTTGGATCAATCATCTTGTCGGCAGTTTCTTCAACATCAAACTTAATCCCAACTGTCCATCGTGGATAAGTCATCTTCTGCGCAGCTTCTTCATCATGAACCTTATTTCCTACTGTCCATCTTGGATCAAACATCTTTTGCGTACTTTCTTCGACATCAAATTAGTCCCTACTGTTCATTTTAGATAGGTCATCTTTTGGGCAGCTTCTTCATCATGAACCTTACCCCCTATTGTCCATCTTAGATAAATCATCTTTTGGGCAGCTTCTTCAACATCAATCTTACTTGTTATTGTCCATGTTGGATAAGTCATTTTTTGAGCAGCTTCTTCAATATCAACCTTGTACCCTACTGTCCATCTTGGATCAATCACCTTTGGTGCAGCTTCTTCAACATCAAATTAGTCCCTACTGTCCATCTTAGATAAGTCATCTTTCAGACAGCTTCTTCATCATCAACCTCACACCCTACCATCCATTTTGGATAAGTCAGCTCTTGGGCAGCTTCTTCATTATGAACTATTTTTTGACTGGGGATCTGTTTTTCAACTTTTCAAGAATCCTAAGCTTGTTTTAAAAGAAGCACTGATCTTCTTTTTGAAGAAATTCATGCTCACAAAAGGACCAATATGCATTGTACTAGAAACAATGTTGTTATTAGCAGAGGTCAACATAATCATTGCATAGGCTATATGCTATTAAGGTTGTCATGCAGAACATAAAATACAATGAAAAATCCTCCACCACCACCACCCCACCAAGTGCATTCAAAGCTGGGGACCAAAAGTAAAATCTAAATCTTGTGCATGCTCAAGAAGGAGGAGGAGGAGAAGGTTCTTTAGGAAGAAAAAAAAAGCCAAACTTTAAAAGTAAGAAGAAGAAAAAAGAAATGAAATGAAAAACAAAGTTATTTCCAAAGAAAGGGTTATAAGTGACCATTCCTGGGAACTTACTCAGAGTCTTTGTCCCATAACCGTCGTCCCCTAATCCGGGGAAGTCCTGCACGGCAGTCCCCGGAGAGAGCAATGAAAGGAAAAAACACCCGCAGAAAAGGAAGGAACAGGTCAGTGCAGTTGAAATGGATACTACCATGACAGACCATGCAGATAATCCAATCTGGATTCCCACATTTTGAGCAAAAATAAGGCTTAATCTCCCGATTCAAAGACTTTCGTGGAAGCCAAAGAGATGTGGTTAAAGTGAGAAAGCAAAAGATTCTCTTTAGGAAAAAAATAAATACAGGTAGTCCTTGGCTTACAACTATTTGTTTAGGGGGCTGATGTTACAATGGCACTGAAAAAAGGGCAGGAACTGGAGCTAGGAACGAGAACTCACGCCTTCACACAACCCGGGCTGTCAATTTTTCAGCTGATAAGCTCACTCATGCAGAGCCATCACACTCCCTAGATGCCCCTAAATGCCCAATCATTATCTTCTTTTAATGACCCCATAATCCCTTGCAAGGTTGTAGTCTGAATGGAGCTGAGTGTTTACTGGCCAGATGCCCTTCCTGTCACCAATGCGGAGTTTTGTTTAGCAGATATATTCTCATTGTGCCCAGAGAGAGAAAATATCTGCCTCTACCTAGGATTGAACTCGTAGCCTCCTGATTGTGAGGTGAGAGCTCCACCTCTAGGCCATCGCACCACTCTCCCAAATGCCCAATAATAGATATTAAATCCAGTGGAGACTAATAATCCAGTGGAGAATCTCTCTCTCTCTCTCGTACTGTATGGCTTAGAATTGCTCGCACCTTAATTTTCCACTTTGGCTGCATTCTTGTGAAGCGGAAAAGTGGGAAAACTTCAATCCGATATCTGATTTTCACAGATAAGACACTTTTCCCCGCCTCCCCCCCCTTTTTTTCTAAATAGCTGGGAACTAGTCCAAGCCATCTCATTATCAAGAACCTTCCCGTTCAATAGACTGAACTGTCAAGCTAATGAGTCGAAGCTATAAATGTTGGAGTGGGAACTCACAGGCACAATTTACCAAGGAGTACAGGTAGACCTCAACTTGAGACCAGAATTTCTGCTGCTGAGCCAGGTGGTGGTTAAGTGAATCATACCCTATTTTACAACCTTTGTTTTGGCCATGGTCATTAAGCGAATGGCTGCAGTTGTTAAAAGGCTCATGTAGTTGTTCAGTGTATCTGGCTTGGGAGATGGCTGGGAGGATTGCAAACGGTGATCATGCAACCTTGGGACACTGCAACTGTTAAAAATGCATTCTGGTATGCCCGTGTTTTGATCATGTGATCATGGGGATGCTGCAATAGTCATAAGTGCGAGGACAGGTCATAACTCATCTTTTCCAGCACCATTTTCCCCCCTCCTTTTAATGACCCTGTAATCCCTAAATTCGCAGTGAAGTCAGGGAATGAAGCTGAGCATTTACTGGCTGGATGCCCTCCCTGAGGCCTACACGGAGTTCACAGCAGACATTTTATCTTTGCTCATCTTCTTCTTGTGCCATATCCGTCATTGAATGTTGGTGATCATGCTGGTGATCCAATTTTTTTATCAATTCTCTTTGTTCCTAGAGAGAGAAATTTCTGCTGCTACCCAGGATCGAACTCACAACCTCCTGTTTGTGAGGCAAGAAGAGTTCCACCTCTAGGCTACCACGCCGCTCACCATTTTTCAGTACCAATAACGGATAATATTTGTAGCTCAGGGTTGACCTGAGGGGTCCTTGTTGCTCTCTGAGCTCGGTTGTCTTCTGGCAGACGTTTCACGACCCAAACTAACTAATGTCATCCATGCTAGTAAAAACAACCAAGCTCGGAGAACACCAAGGACCTATTTCAGTACTGTTGTATGTCTGAATGGCTGTTAAATGATCAGTTGCAAATCAAGGACTACACACATCACTAGCTAAGATGGAGACAGTTATGAAACCCCGGTCCCCAAAACATTTTTTTATATAAGGCATGGCTTTCTCCTTAACCAAAATTTGAGATGGACCAAACGAAGGAACGGTGGCCAACCCATGTTCAAGCAGTAGAGATAGAAAAATTTACTTCCTTTTCCTCCCGTAAACCCCACAGGGAATCCAGACAGTTATATACATTGATCATAGTAGTAAGGCCTCACCTGTCCTGAACCTGACTTAAGCTTGCCTAAGGTATATGAAGTGCCGTGCATATCACCCACGTGTTTCGCTGTGACGTCGTCTCTAAAACATTTTACTTACGTTCCGGGTCACTGGTGTCCTGATCACACATCTCCTTGCTCTTGTAGAATGGGAATTTTCGTGAAAAGATGAAGTTCTTTTTACGCTTGTCATTGAATGACTGTGAAGGAAAAGAGGCATGGCCGAAAAAACAAGGACGTCTAATTGTTGTCACACTCATGCTGACAAAACAACTAGGCTGGTAAAAGTGGGAAACAACTGTGGTGACCGTGTTCAATTTCTTTCGTTGGCCTCAAGAACGAAGCATTGAGAAGCAAACAAAGGAGGGAAAGTAGTCGAAGGTGCTTGAGATCTTGAAAGATTTTTTTTAAGATCTCTTTTATGTCTCTGGAGATTCTCAGTCATCCAGGTCGTGGTTATCCCCCCACAGGTGCTTTTTTCAAGAGGCAACTGGACTGTCAAGCCCGAAATTGATATATGTGTAGCCATTTTAAAATTAGGCTTAGTATATATTCTTTTTCTTACTTTCTCTGTGGCAGTCATGGGGGCAGGGGGAAGAGTTTCGGGCTTGCCACATTCCTAAGCGGGGAGGAGTGGAGATAAAGAGAGTTGTTTTGGCTAAGCGATTCTTCTTCCCGTGGGAAACGAGCTGTCCGTGCTTAGGCCCTTGAGGTGGAGATTTATGATATTGAGCAACTTCTATTGGAGAATGTGACTTTGGGGGGTTGTTTCTAACGTTTAAATATTGTGGGGTAATTCCAGATTGTGCCAGATCCGGAATTACCACAGACTTTGCCAATTTGATGCTTTCTAAAATAAAACAAGTTGTATTGGAAGATGGACTTTGTTTTATTCTTTTTAAATGGATTTCATCACTTGGAAACCTGACATGGACTTTCTGATTTTTCTCTGGAGATGTTTTGCTTCTCATCCAAGAAGCTTCTTCTTGGATGAGAAGCAAAATGTTTCACTTGGATGGTGGGGAATGGAAGGATTTATATTCCTTGCAGACAGCTGGTCATTTGCATCTTTTTGGAGAGTCATTGAGGCCACCTGAGAAGCGAAACGCCATCCAAGAAAAACCAGAAAGTCCAGTTGAAAAAAGTACCTTTGGGACAAGATCTCTGTATATTAGAAGTGTACAGGTAGTCCTTGACTTACAACCACTTGCTCAGTGATTGTTTGAAGTTACAACGGCACTGGCAAAAGTGACTTACGACTGTTTTCCACACTTATGACAGTTTCAACATTCCCATGGTATCAAAGTTCAGATGCTTGGCAACTGGTTCATATTTATGACGGTCGTAGTGTCCCGGGGTCCTGTGATTCTCTTTTACGACTTTCTGACGAGCAAAAAGCCAAAGCCAAATTCACCAAACCACTGTGTTACTCGCTTCACAACTACGGTGATCCGCTCAACAATAGCAGGAAAGGTCGAAAAAAGGGGCAAAACTCGCTCAACAATTGTCTTGTTTACCAACAGAAATTTGGGGCCCCATTGTGGTCGTAAGTCGAGGACTACCTGCAATGTTTCCTAAAACCAGAAGTAGGAAATCTGAGGCTCAACAGATATTTAAATTTTAAGTTTCACTCAACATGGCGAACCGGTAGCGGAAATTTTGAGTACTTCGGAGTACCGGCAAATACCACTTCTGACTGGCCCCAACCCCATCTATTCTCTGCCTCCCGAATCCCAGCTGATCAGCTGGGTCTTCTTTGGTTGGCCTGCACAGGAGAACGGAGCTGGAAAGCAGGTTAGTGGGATGGGGTGGGAATGGGGATTTTACAGTATCCTTTCCCTGGAGTGGGGTGGGAAATGAGACTTTAGAGTAACCTCCCCCTGCCACACCCATCAAGCCACACCCACCAAGCAACGCCCACAGAACCGATAGTAAAAAATGTTTGAATCCCACCATGGTTCAAAATAGCAGGAGTACCCAAAGGAAGTCATCCCTGGATTAATTGGCAGTGGCTCCAATCCTTTGTGGGACTACCTGGAACTTGATCCTAAGGTTTATTACATATTATTACATATTCCAAACATGAGTGTATGTGTTTATTTTGGTCACCAAAGTTTCATGCCACTTTTACTCTCCAAGGATATTTAAAATTTAGTAACAAAAGCAAAACAAAAAAACAAAAACAAAGGGAGAAAAATTATAGACATAAAAACCTACAAATGCCCCATAACGACTGTAAACACATGGATTCAACACAACGTAACCATCATGCCAAAAAGTACACAATCATGCCAACCACAATTCATGCAAACGAAAAATAAAGGCAGATGTCAAAAATTATAGGCATAAAAGGTTTCCAAATATAACTTGATTGGCGGGTGGTAATATTGACAGAATGGCCTATCGAATCTAAAGAAATTAAAACATGCACCTGTGTCTCTCTCTCTCGATTGTGATATCTTTTTTTTCCAGAATTAAACAATGTCATCCGATAACAGAACTCTCATTAGGACAATGATATTTAAACCACAACTCATTGATTGCAGATTTCAAAAAAATGTCAAAGAAAGAAAGCAGATCTAACATTGGCAGATAATATATCTTTTCTTTCTAGTCACTCAAAAGCTTCGTGATTGATGTACAAGCAGACTGTCAATATTGAACCCAATTGTCATTTTAAATTTATGTTTGTTGTAGCTTCCACTCTTCTCCTTCTTATTATCATAATGATACATATCACACAGAACAGGAAGTTTGTGTTGCTGTCTATACAGGTAGTCCTTGACTTATGACCACAAGTGGGCCCAACATTTCCGTTGCTAAGTGAAACATTTGTTAAGTGAATTTTGTCCCATTTTATGACCTTTCTTGCCACCATTGTTAAGTGAATCACTGCCATTGTTAAGTTAGTAACACGGTTGTTAAGTGAATCTGGCTTCCCCATTGAGTTTGATCCTGGGGACACTGCAAATGTCATAAATATGAGTCAGTTGCCAAGTGCCCACATTTTGATCACATGACTGAGGGGATGCTGCAATGGTTGTAAGTGTGAACATTGGTCGTAAAGTCACTTTTTCAAAGTTGTAACTTTGAACAGTCATGAAATGAACGGTTGTAAGTCGAGGAGGACCTGTATCTTAGGAAAGCACATCCCGTGTCTGCTAACTTATTTAAATTGTGAGCTATTTGCCTTCCTTTGGAGAAAAAAATAGGTATAACTTCTAGAATGTTTAGATCATGGAAATGTCTGCATATCCTTATATTCTGATATGATCTGGAATATGTGAATTTATCCATTCAGAAGGTACCTAGTAATAGCAATAGTGCTTATACTTATATGCTGCTTTACAGTGCTTTACAGGCCCTCTCTAAGCAGTTTACAGAGTCAGCCTCTTGCCCCCAACAATCTGGGTCCTCATTTTACCCACCTCGGAAGGATGGAAGGCTGAGTCAACCTTCAGCTGGTCAGGATTGAACTGCTGACAGTCGACAGAGTCAGCCTGCAATATTACATTCTAACCACTATGCCACCACAGCTCCTTCCTTCCTTCCTTCCTTCCTTCCTTCCTTCCTTCCTTCCTTCCTTCCTTCCTTCCTTCCTTCCTTCCTTCCTTCCTTCCTTCCTTCCTTCCCAATAGCCCTTAGACTTATATATCGCTTCACAGTGCTTTTACAATCCTCTCTAAGTGGTTTACAGAGTCAGCCTCTTGCCCCCAACAATCTGGGCTCTTCATTTTACCCACCTCGGAAGAATGGAAGGCTCAGTCAACATTGAGCCTGGTGGGATTTCAGGCAGCCAGCAGCCAGCAGAAGTAGCCTGCAGTACTGCACTCTAACCACTGTGCCACCATGGCTTAATTATCAGGAAAAAAAATTAAGAAGGATCTACCATAGGTAGGCTGCACATTATGGATACAGAAGTTCAATGCATTTAGACTGCACCAGGTTAAGAAAGATTGACGTGTTATATGTTCTCCATGAAATTGCTCTTATCACAATGCAAAAATTGCATCTGGCAGAGAATATGATGGTCAACCTCTGACTACATTTGGACCATGGGAAAAACCTCTGAGGTGTACTTCAAGGTCTGTGAGCTTGGCTGTTTTCTTGCAGACGTTTCATCACCCAACCTGGCAGTGATGACGTTACTTAATTGGGTAATGAAACGTCTGCAAGAAAACAACCAAGCTCAGAGAGCATCAAGGACTCTCACAGTTCAGCCCTCAACTACAAATATTCTCAAGAAGAACTTCATATCAATCCATCGCTATCTTTAAATGATAGCAGTATTGGCACTTAAATCTCTTTTCCTCGATTAGTTTACTTTACTTTATTGTCATTGCACATCGTACAACAAAATTAAATACCATCTTCAGTGTACTATACAGCAGAATTCAAAAGAGCTACTGCCCTGGGATAGAAGCTGTTTTTCAGCCTATTTGTCCTTGTTTTTATTATCCTGTGCCGTCTGCCAGATGGTAATAGATCAAAAAAAGGGGGTGTCCAGGATGAGATGGATCTTTGAGAATGTTTTGAACTTTCTTAAGGCAGTGGGAGCTCTAAAGCTCTTCCAAAGAGGGGAGAGGGCAACCAATGATCTTCTGGGCAATGACGTTAACCCTCTGGAGTGCTGTCCTATCTGCCCCTGTGCAATTGGCAAACCATACAGAGGTGCAGGAAGTTAAGATACTCTCTATGGTGCAGCGGTAGAAGGTCACCAGCAGTTTTTCATTTGGTTATTGTTTCCTGAGAAGCCTCAGGTAGTATAATCTCTGTTGGGCCCTTTTGACCAGGGCTGCAATGTGAGCACTCCAGGTCAGGTCCTCTTTTATGGTAACACCCAGAAACTTAAAACTGGCCACTTGCTCCACTCGGTCTCCATTGATAAGCAAGGGCTGGATGTCTGATCTTTTCCTTCTATAGTCCACTATAAGCTCCTTGGTCTTATTGGTGTTGAGGACCAAGGTATTGTCTCCATACCACGAAAGCAATTGGCCCACCTCATCTCAGTAGGCAGACTCATCTCCCCGGAGATGAGTCCCACCACTGTTGTATCATCTGCAAATTTAGTAATATTTAGTAATATTATGAATCTTCCACTTAGCTAGGTGAGTCAGCTTCTGCAAAAGCTGGCTAACCAGCATTTTGTGATATTGCACTCACTGAGTCAGGAAAGGGCTGGAAAGGGTAGAGGAAGACAAAAATATAGAAAGATGCAAGGAGCAGAGAACCACACATGGCCCCATGAGACTCTGCAAGAGGAATGCCAATTACTTCATCACATGGATGGACAATAAAATCGTAGGTGACATGTGCCTTTAGCTGCTCTTCATCACTCTCTTCCACTTTGCCTCTCCTGCCATCGTTGAAGGCTAATAAGAAGTGAACTCTGGAAGAACATTGCTTTCAAGGTCTGCTAATTGAGGCACATCAAAGAGGCAGACAACGGGGTCTAGGCAGGGGTGAAATTCAACCGGTGTAACAACCAGTTCACTTTGCGTGTGCACACACACTGTGTGTGTGTGCTCCACATTTAAAAAAGCTAATACTTAACTTCAACTGCAGCTGAAGAAAACAACTGAGGCACGGCAGAGTGGTCTGCTGCGCGAATCAGCTGTG